TGAATCCTTGCTGAAAACAGGCTGCAGGGAAGTGGCTCAATGTGGTGCCAAAGGCCAAGCAGGCAGGACATGAAACAAAAAAACGTCCTTTCAGATTGATAGTCTGTTTAAGATACTTTTCCTTACCTCATGTGTGGATCCCACTTTTGGGGGAGAGCTTAGGTACCAAACTCAGGCTTGGGGACTATCCTCCAGGAGCTGATGTCTGTGCCAAGTATCTCAATATGTAGTCTCTTTGTAGATAAGGGCTAACTCAGTAAATCAGCCCACTGTCTTGTCTCCATTGAGCTGCTTCTTTGTTAGCTATTTCAAGAAAGTTGAAACCTTCCCAGTGAAGGCAAGGCTGCAGAGCCCTCTGGGAAATACAGCATTTGATCCAGACATCAGAGGTGCCATTCACTGTGATATCTAGGACGTGCTGCCACTCAATGCGTTGCTGGGCCAAAAGCGTAACTGCGGAGTGCTGATCAGCTTCGATGTTCAAAATTACACCGGTTCAATAGTGAAAGAACTGACAAATACTGCCATCACAGCATTGCTTTTGTCTTCCCTCTATTTGTTTAATGGCATTTTTCCTCCTTAAGCTTCTGCTTGTACAGCTGCTTTTCAGTACAGTGACTTCTCATCTAACGTGATATAATTTGCTTGCAAAACTGCCTGTGTTTGAACGATAGGTCAGCTTATGGAGAGAGAAATGCTGCCGTAGCACCTCCTTGTGTAGTTCAGTGGAACAAATCTCGGGGCAGTGGATGCAAATCATTGAACACCATGAGGGAAAAAATCTGTTATCTCACTGTTCACCAAGGAAATTCAAATAGTGACTTCTCCAGCAATTAGAGCCTCCAACTGTTGTCTGCCAAAATACAGTTTGTTTTCACTGTGAAGATCTAAAGCACATTGAAAATTTAGCACTCTTGCTGTTAGGACTTGAAAGTTCGCTCTCTGCTTCCAAATATATTCTTTTCTTTGCTGGTTTTCATATGTAAGTGAACTCATTCCTTTCACCATTTCAGTCCTTTCTTACAAAATAAGGTACATGTGTTTGTAGACCACAAATATTTGTCTCCCTACAGTCGTATTCTTCTACTACCAGTTAGAAGTAATACTTTTTAAAACTTTATGATAGCACTGTGTTAGGATGTTAGACCTTGCTTTATAACTACACGATTATTTTTCAGATTCCCAAGAACAAATTGTTATTGAAAGGAAGCCCATTTTCTACCACTGGAGACCTACTGAATTAAGTATTGTCCTCTGACACCTATTTCTAAACAGTGTTTAATTAGTTTACATTAATTTAAAACTTAGGTTAATTAAAATTAGATTCCTATAAAGCAGGTAATTGAATCTGCACCTGAAATACTTCTCAACATGAAATCAACATTTAGGCGTAAATTCTTAGTTGCATTGACAATTGCTGTGGGCCAGGGTCTCAAAGGAGGTCGCAGCTTGCTTCAGCTGCCTTTGCCTCATCTCGCTGGCACTTTTCAGGGGAGTCGTCTCTCACCAGTGTGCAGGAGACTGAGCCCTGGGCTTGTCTCCTGCTTCTTCTGAAATGAGGAAAATCTGTACCCCAGCTCTTTACTCAGCCCCAGCTCTCCTCTTCTGACAGTTCTATGATCCGATGTTGGGTTCTGAATGAAACCTGCTTTGAAAAATTTCATACGTGGCTCACACAGGAAAAAATCCTGCCTGTGGAAACCCAAGGGTCTTAAAGTGTTAATAAAATAATTCTTAAGTCTTGCATGTACAATTTTAATTGTATCCATAATCATTCAAACTTGCATCTTATTGAGATCTTAGAATTTTTGTGCTTTCTGTTGCTGCTATTATTGGATCCTTTTGTCTTTTAATGGTACACAAGAGATTAGCTTACGTTAGCAAACTTCCAAACAACACCTAGAACAGATGTGTGAGCATGTCTGTTCACCATTTAAAAATCCTTACTATTTTACATAATCTTAATGCAACAGATCCAGCCTCCCTTTTTCTCTGCAGAAAGTGGAATGCCTCTTTTCATAGCAAAGCACCTTCTGAGTATCTACGGCGTTAGCCTGCCTAGGGTAGCTACAGGCCATTGACTGTAATCCTCTGATGAATAATCTCTAAGTGTGAATATGTATACAAGGCAGATGGTACCAAATATTTTTCCATTTTAACTCCAAAATGCGAACTCTCAATGTCATAGGCTGAGGTGTGAGTCTCCACTTAGCCATCCTCCCAGGTGAAGCATGAACAGGAGTTTAAGTGAGACATGACAGGAAGGATAAGTACTTGTCACGAACACTTGGTGACAAAACCAGCTGACGTCACTGTTTTACAGCAGAGCAATTCAAAGTAGTATGATGGTAGACTGGGAACAGGGCAAAATTCTTCCCCTCACCCTATTCCTGAATCGGTTTGTAATGCCCCGATCGGATGCACAAGAGGTGCTAGGAAAAATGCATCAGACAGCATTTTTGCTTTCCCCTGTACGGAGCACAGGGAGAACGTGCACTGCAGAAAATCTCAGCTCCCTTTTATTGCACTGGAGGGTGTTTGTGAGCGTGGGCAGTGCAGGAAAGCTGAGTCAGCAAGACCTTGATTTGCAGCGTTATTGAGGATGCAGTAACTTCATTTGGAGTTGTGGGTGTTTAATAGCCTTGAAAACAGGACTGCAAGAGATGCTATTTAAGGTGTGAGGCATTTCTGCCTGCTGAAAGAAAACCTGAAGAAATTATGCTGCTTGTGTCTAGGGACAAGGAGGAAAAATTGCCTTCTGTTTCTTCTTCAGAAGTCTGTTTTTCATCAGCGCGTCAAAATATTCACTGTGACACAAATGAGCAAAATGAGCAGAATTAGACTGCCTGTAAGAGGGACAGTAGGGTGGTTTGGTAATATTGGATATAATACTGCAGATCACTGTGTGTTAGGAGTGGTTGGATACCGAACCAAGTGATTGAGCCCTAAGGAGAGGCACGCTTTCCTCGCCTATTTTGATCGTGAGCAATTGTCCAAGCCCTCCCCGACAAAGGGCTGCAATAGCTAACCTGAAGTAGCCTGAAGTGCCATCTAATTATTTTTTAAAAGTGGCTAGGTTGTAGCCACTCTGATCTTTAGTGACAGGACAGGTATTAACCACTGCTGTTCAGATTGGCTGTTCCGGCTTCAGCTGAGTTGCTGAATGCACCCACGGGTTACACGTTTCTCCATTTTTGTTCTTTCGGGGTTTTTTTGGATAGTGGGTGGGACACTATCTGTACGGGAGTGCTTTGCAGCCCCTGTATAGCCCTCTGGGCTGCACCTCGGTTAGGGTAATATAAATCCTGTTTCTAGCCGTCTGGGATTCTCCAGAATGTGAAAACCTGACGGGATTTTGCATGCTTCAGCATAACCTACTCGAGATACGGGACCTTGTTGTGACAGGCTTTATCAGGATGATAGCAGATATTAATTGGCAAGATCTGGGCAACCGGCAGTGCCAGAGGGCACTGGGCCAGCCCTGTTGTGGTGAAGGCTGACTGTGCTAACGATAAACTGTGTAATTAACTGGAAGGGTGTGTTTGGCTTCTTGATGCACTGCAGTTTGCTTTCAGACATTTTTCTGAAAGAAACACAGCACGCTTGTTGGTGCACTCGTTAGTGATCCTCAGCCGGTTCTTCTTAATGTGGATAAATGAGTGGTGAGAACTAGTTATAGCTAGAAGAGGATTTTTGCCTTTGTGACCAGTTCCTGGAAACTTTTATGTTTACTTCTCTCTCTGTTTGTTTCAATTCTTTTTGCAGGGAGAGCGAGATTATCCATGATCCAATAAATGAGCCACGAGCAGCCTCGTTTCCCCCCCTCTTGGGTAGGAAGTCAGCAGCCGAGGCATTATGAACCAGAACCGAGGAGGTCTTTCAGTCCACTCAGTTTGTCCAAATGCTTCGTTTGCCTCTCTCCACTCAATCAAGAGCCTTTGTATCTCCTTGTATGAAGGAGCCCCTAGGCTGGGACAGCCACGGGCCTGACTGGTTGAGAAGCATTCGCTTATTTAGGGTGGAGATGAATGACAGGAGAAATTATTGAGGTTTTGTGTGCATCCTTGGGTTTGGAGGTGCAGAGTGAAAGCGGGTGGGATTTCTGAGCAGATGGGAGCAAGCGGAGCTCAAAGCTACTCAGTGCAGCAGGCTGGGGCGCAGGGAACCATCTGAAGTGAGGTCTTGCTCCGGGGAGCTGCGTGAGGCCCCTCTTGGCTGGGACAGCCCGCTCTCACGTCGCCGTAGATGCGCTGTACTGCCTCTGCTGTGGTCTCCATTTACAGCGCTGCACTGGGCTGTATGAACGTGTCCCATGTTCTTCAGAGCACATCTGTGAGTTTTGCACCATCCCTAGGTCTGAAAGATTTCAGTGGCTTCGTTACCTTGCACTTCCTCAGCGCAGCCGTAGAGGACAGCTTTGGTTGCTGCTGAGGACAGAGGCCGTGTTCCTCTCGAGGCTTGAATACCACTAAGCAACTTTATGCTCACTAAGTAATAATACTCAGCTTTACCCATCGCTAGCTTTCAGTAATCAAATATGAAAAACAATACACAAACCTAAACAGGGGCACATTAAAATTTGTAGCTGCCCAACAGAATGAAGAAACAGCTCTGCTGCTCTCTACTCCCACGACAAAAGCTTTGCAGTGAGGGCAAGTCAAAAATCACAGTGAAAATGGACTAAGAGCCGAAGCCTGAGACGAGTTCCTAACTGAGGTATGTTCCCTTTAAGCCAAAGGGGACTCAGATCCTAACCAAATGTCTTAAGCTGTTATTTATCACATTATTACAGTATTGTTATGTAAGCCATAATGTGTTTCAGTAGTCAAACACGAAGAACACTCCTCAAACGGCGAACTTCAGAAAATGCACAGCTCAATTGAATTTTACTGCGTGTCCCATCGTTCTTGTGCTGTTGGAAGCAGCAAACGATCACCCCACCCTCACATCCCCGGAGCCCCTGGTTCAGTAAGGCTGTCTCTGGTCTCCTCACCAGCTACCTCTTCTGAGCCAGCGCTCTCCTTCATTTCATCCTTGCCGTGTTCAAACTTCTCCTTACGTTTGGTCATCCCTGTGACCCTTTTTTAGCTTATCTGTATCCTCTGTGAGCTGGAGTGACCCAAACTACGGACATTATTCAATAAGTCTGAGCACAGTGGCTTTCACGTGGTGTGACCGTGTGTCCTCTTTTGTTTCCTATTCCTTTTTTAGTGTTTTTTAGCACTCTGCCAGGATTTGAGCACTCAGTATGACCCTGCTGACAAGTGAACTGACGACTTCAAGACCTGCCCAGTTCTCTTTCCTGAGAAAGAGATAATTACAGATTCAGAGCCTGTCACTGCAGATACATACTTAAAGGTAGTTTTGTGCCCATACACGTTATTTTGCACTTATCAGTGTAAACATTTTGTCATCTGCTCACTTAATGTTATGCGTACCTAAGATGTAAGTCTTAGCTGTCAACTTTAGATGCGATTATTCTGAATAATTTTGTCATGGTGTTATTCACTGCTCTGTCAGGTAGTTTGTGACTAGATTGAGCCTCACAAGTCCCAAAGCACATCTCCGAATGGGATCCTGATGCTTAACTTGAGACAAAATGACATTTATTTCCTATCTCTAGCCATGAGGGGAATGTCCCTTCCACCTGCTGATTGTTTAGCTTCCAGGATTGCACCATCTACCCTTTTGTAACCCATACACAACTGTTTTTCCTGACCCTTTTGTAACTCATACAAAACCGTTTTCCCTTCTCGTATGTTGGAAAGCATCACAGGGACAGATCAGCTTTTTTCTTTGGTTAGCTTCAAAAGCTTTTTTGCTGTCAATGCTTGGAAATGAACCATGTGATGCCTGTAAGAATCCATTAGGTTTGGCTTTTTGTACGCACGATCTCTCGTATTCTGTGTCATGCACATATTTTTTTGCAATTGGGTCATTCTGAGACACGTCTTGTAGTAACAGGCAACATCAACTGACAGTTTTTTGTCCTGTAGGCAACGTGAGCAACATGAGCAAATACAAATGTTTAAAATGGACATTTCTAATAGTTTAAAATATATACGAATTCTGATAATTATAAAATAAGTGGCTCAGACTCTTTAGTCACAACCGAGTCAGAGATTGTTCTCGCTCATGTAGAACATAGGGCAATTTAATGGCAGATGTGAAGGTAATTTTTATTCTTCTCTGACATTTTTAGAATAGAATTTGACCCATACCTCCCTTCAAGTTTTGCTCAGTATTTGATAAAAAGATGAATGTTTTTATGATGGACTATGGGCTTGTTGATTGTCCTGGTAAGCCACAGCTGCAAAATCTGATGCAGTTTAGTGTGTGACAAAGCTGAATGTCACACACTAATTCATTTGAATAGGAGCCAAGCTAATATTCCTTATTGGGGTAAAATGCCCACTAAAATGTTTTTATGGAATTATGAAGGCAGATTCATCATGGAAATTTGGGAACTCCCATTCTGGGTGCATTGAAAATGCGCTGTTCAGATGAACAAGCTATTTATAGAGACATGTGGTGTAATAGTGGATACTCCTTTAATCTTTTAGCAATCCAGACGTTACCATATGGACAAACCGCACAGATTGATTTGAGGAGGCCTCACTGAATAAACGAATACCCCGCTTCAGTTAATTTGCTGAGCTTTTATGTTAGTGTATCAGGAAAAAAAAAAATGCTTTCCAGCACATAGTTTATTTGCAGTGACATATAAAATGAGACTGATGACAATCAACACAGGTTTAAGGCAGCTTGTTTGACAAGCAGCTCGTGATGGTTTGGACAGTTGTCTGGAGGGCTTTCTTTCAGTACTTCATTGCTTGTCGCCAGTGCACGGCCTTTCCAATGTGGAACCACCTTTGCACGTACATATCAGAGAATGCACACAGTTTCCTCTACCGTTTCGCTTTCAGTGACGTACCTGCATTAATTTAGCTTAATGCCGTAATGGGTTATTTAGTTTTATTATCAACCTCTGCTTTCTCAATCTTCTGTCCTGTGAGGAACTGCCATATTCCTCCTCTGTAGTTCTCATTCCCCAGGGCATATACAAAGGCATCCACCGTTGGCACAGTCTTGGCAATAATGGCAGGAATCTGTCGTGAGACACAGTATTTATTAATAGGAGAAGCACCGAGGGGCCAATGGGCTGATTTCAGCCTAGGCTCAGTTTCCCTTTACCAAACAAATGCCTGTCTCCAATGGCAGTAGCTTGCTGCCCCCGGAGAGGTGAGAGGTAAAAGCAATTTGGTCAGTTGGAGGCCCTTGCTGAGGAAATTATAGTCTCCAGGAGAAAGAATTTAGATCAGCATTGCCTGAAACTGGGCTATTTCAGTTGAGAGTGAATACGAACACTTAGGAGGAGTGAAGGGTGGACACCTTCTGATGGATAAGTGGGCTGATATTGCTAACACATTTTATGTGGGATACTGAATACCTAAGTACAGTAATGCATTTGGTGACCTGAAACTGGGCTGATTTTTGGGGACTGAATGAAGGTGGAAGGGTTTGATGTGATGTTACTGAGGCCCAGAGGCAGTCTCGGAGCCAAGACTCATAGAAAAAAGGGAAAAAAGGAGGCAGCATAACCTTAAGAGTGATCAATTGCAGCTTCCCTGAGGAGGGAGAAGTATTAGAAGAATGAATGAGACAAACAGTCTCTTCAAAATTGAAAATTTCGAGCGGGTACTTGACTCTGGGAAGGACACAAAAAGCTCCTACAAACCATGAAGCAGTGCAGGCTATGGACCTCTAACTGACTGCTGAAGAAAAAAACCCCTGACTTCCTAAATGGTTGCTTGATCAAAGCAGTAATACAATGCCTGTTATATCACTGTGCTTAGCTGTTCTGCCTTAAAAGTGGTAGGTGAGCAGAATGCTCGGAGGAAACGATCTACTTGTTATATTTGTTATAACAAGTAAAACCAATTGTGAGTAAATTGGCATTGTTCCGCAGGAAGAGAGAGAGGAGAGTAAGGAGAAGGTCGTTGTTTGAATTCCCTGGGGTGGCATTGACGTACCATGCGGTATTTTGGTGAAATGAACATCACATTTTCGACCGCTGCGTAGAAGCATAAAAGGCAGTAGGGACCCCAGCAAATGACCAGCACCTTCACCGGTAAACCGGTATTAAACTGAAAAACAAGAGCAATCAATTCCTTGGTGTTCCACAACCACGCACTGCAACAAGCGGAGGGGACAGACCCTGTGAGACCGTGGTCTGTGTTCGGCAGCAGGAGAGGATCAGCCAGCAGGATACGCCGTATCACTGCGGCTCTGCTGTCGATGCCGGAGGCGTGCGAGCACAGCTCCCTCTGCGTTGAGGGCTGCAAGCCCCAAAGCCCTGTTCCGGGGGGGCTGGGTGGGGAGCGGCAATCGCTCCTGGGCAGAAGAAGTGACAAAGCACCTTATGGCAGAGCAGTGAAATCAGTGTGTGTGCGAGACGTAGAAGCCATGGCCAGTAATTGCTGCTGGGGGGGGAGGGCAATGTGTAAATTTAAAAAGAGATAAAAAGGAACGATATTTTGCCGACTTCCTAGAGGGTCTGGCAGACAAATAAACTGTGTGAAGCCGCTGCTGTGGCAGTGCAGCAGATGGATGCAGTGGCATCTGTCTCGCGGTAGTAGGATTCCTGTGTCCTTCATGCTAGGGCCTTATCCGTGGTGTTCATGGCCAGCTGTTCCCGAGTATCTTATAAATATTAATGAATAGGGAAGTGATAATTTCATCCTTAAATTTTCTGCTTCGTAACTAGTCTGCACAGCTACAGAATATCGTAAGAAAGAAATCACACGCTATTGCATAAACTCACTGAAAAAAAAAAAGTAATAGACGTATAATAACAAACACGGAGATTTGTTCGAGAAATATGTAGAGGGCACACGTATATATTCCAGACAGCTACGAACCAGTCTGCCTGACCGTCTCTTTGCCGGTATAGCATCCCCCTTGAGAACTGACTGTCTTTACTGAGTGCAGGGGTCGGGCTGCGCCCGCCAGCCACGCAGAGTACCCAGCCTATAGCCTGCACCTAAGGAAACAACTCATGTAATCACCACGTTACATTCCCGTAAACCTGCCACGTCGGAGCAGTTCCTTTGTTTTCAGCTCATAAAGACTTTCTGAACTTCCTCAGCCAAGTGTAAACACGGCCTGTTTGGGAAGGCCCTTCTCTCCCCGCGGGGTGCCTGCGTGTTTCCCTGCAGTGCTGACTTCCTCAGCCATAAGCTAAGAGCCTGCAGCAAAGCAGGAAAATGATGGTCCTTCCTGAGCAAAGTTTCTCTGGATAAATACCGGTGCGCTATTAGCAAATATTCTGCATGCTGCGTGTTTGTTTTGTGACTAGAGTGGGACCGGTGTTGGTGGAGGGGAATCCTCAGGGTCACTAGTCCGACCCCTGCTTTGATGGGGAACTGTTTGCAGCACTGGGTCGGGGCAGATGTGGCTGGCTGGTCACATCTTGCAATCTCTGAGGATGGGGTTTCCACGAATTTTCCGGGCGGCCCCATCCTGTGTTGTGCTACCCTCCTACTCAAGTAACACTGGGGAGTTAGCACAGAAGGAGCTGAGCCAAAGCCTCTGTGAACGAAATCGGCTTTTTAAGGACTTTGTCTCTGTTGGATGCAGCCCTATTTTGGCAAGGCAGTTGCAGGGGCCGAGGAAGCTTTCTTACCTTATAGTGCCCGCTTTTCTTGAACTTCTGGTGTATGGACTGATAGGACGTCAGCATGATGAAGCCCGGGATCATGAAATTGAAAATGGACAAAGCAAAAAGGAACGTGATATAGTTTCTGGAAAGGGTGAGGAGGGAAAAAAAAAGAGGTTGTTAATTCCTCTCTAGGGCATCTTTGTAAACTCGCTGTAAATATTCGTTAACTTATATTTTTAAAATGGCCAAAAGCAGTTTTGTCAACATGCTTTAGGTGCCGCATTTGCTGAAGGCCGGTTAAGTTGTGCCATGCTGTTGTGTGTGGGACAGATAGTCTTGCAGAAAATCGCAACGGGTGTTTGGTTTCTACACCCAAGCATCCCTACTCAGCCGTCAGTGCTGGACTGC